CACAGGTAGTGGCTCCCCAACACCCTGGAACCAGCAGAGGCCTGCCTTGGCCTTCACAGGAGCCCGCCATTGGTTCCCTGTACTGAGCTCGTTCCTTCCGAGAACACCTGATCAAACCCAACGAGCACAGGGATGAGGTACCGAGATGTTCCAAAGCCCACACACCTGCCTAGGGAGCTTCCAGAGGCAGGCAGCCACACTTACCAGCAACACATGACAGGGTGCAGTCGCGGGAACAGACTTGAATGGCTGTCAGAAGCTGACAGACAAAGATTGTTCATAATGAAACAGGCTTTACATAACAGAGGTACACAGAACTTTGCACCCGACCCATGGATTACCCATTCTCTCCGAGCACACAGGGAGTACTGATGAAGACAGGGCAGGTGTTAGACCACAGAGAAGCCCTTAGCAACTCTCCAAGGTCAAGTACACACAGTGATACATATGGGACACTCACAGTGACGCGCACACAAACACACACACACACCAAGGCAGAGCCCACACCAATGATACATATGGAACAAACACATGCACGCTGCGGTGTAGTCAATTACATAGTGCAGCTTTTCTAGCACAAGTCTTTGTAAACTCCATGGTAGAATTTGCTGTGAACAAATGAGTAGCTCCTGATTGTTAAAGTTATTCACCTGAGGTATTTCTGTTGGGCGTAGCACAAACAAACAAACTCACTCACTCACTCTCTCTCTCTCTCTCTCAGATGTATAAAATTCTGACATTGGGATTGGTTAGTTTGCCACTCTGCCAGGCTCAAAAGGAGCCCTCCTAGATGCAGAAAAAAATTTTTCACTGCCAGCTGGGAGACATGAGAGACACACATTGCTGAGCAAGAGACGCAAGAGACATGTGCTGCTGAGAGAGACTGAGAGACACACATTACTGAGAGAGCAATGTGTACTGAGACTGTTTACTGCTGAGTGACATGGCCGGCTGCAAGAGACTGAGTGTGTTCCTGAACTCGAATTGTAGCCTGCTGCTTCCCTGATAAGCCTCATAATCTGTGAGTTCTGCGTGGCCACTGAATTATCGAACCCAGCAGAGAGGTGGTGGGTGCTGCGGGAGGAACAGTGTCAGGGCTGATGGAAGGGCTGGAGGGAGGCAGCACGTCTGGCCTCGCAGGAATAGGCCTTGGGCTACTGATGGTGATTCTGTCTTCTTCTTGTGGGGTTAGAGGAGGTCAGGAGATGCGGCCTCCCTGCCCCTTTAGCACACACATATCAACGTAGAGTCCACACACAAACAATATATAAGGACCACACATAAAAATACAGCCTGCAGTCACTGAAAAACAGAGCAAAGGAGGCAGAGGTGAAAACAGGAATCAGACACAGGCAAGAGGAAGCATGCCGACTGGGGGGATGCAAACCAAGTGGGGTGGGCGGCAAGGGCGACGAAGAGCGAGCCAGGACCCCAGGGCTTCTCTGACCTGTCCTCTCGTGGCTTGTCCATGTCCCCATCTGGAACTCTCTCCAGAAGGGGGGAGTCCCAGAGCCTCCTGTTCTCCCCTGTCCTGTCTCATGAACCTGGTGAGGGCAGTGGCTACACCCACGCCCTGCTGCCCCGCCATCTGCCAGCCCTGGCCCTTCCACCTCCATGCCCCGGCCACTTTCTTCTCCTCCCACTTTACTAAAAACCCCTCTGTCTCCTCATCTCCTCACACAAGGGGGCTACAAAGTGAGGCCAGCCCTGCTTCCAGATCAGAGCCACGCTTCCGAACTCAGAGCAACTAGAGGCTGGGGGGGTATCCCGCTGCTGGGCTTCGAGTGGGGAGCCCCACCCGTGGCTTTACCTCCTGAACCCAGGAGAGAAGACTTGACACACAGACAACGGTTGACAGGCTGTCCTTCCTTCTGCTGACGTTTGTAGATAAACTCGTACTCCTCGGAGCCGTTGTCTCGAGCAATGACATATTTGTAAGGAATGGACTTGTCCAGGCTCTGCTTGGAAATGAAGGTGCTGCCTTCAACGAGGGATCCGTGTTCACCCAGGTCTCTGCATAAACAGGGCATTGGCCGGTTACGGGGAGTCCTACCTACGAGACCTCAACCTTCTCAAACACGGCCCACGGCACACACCCAAAGCTATTCATGAATAGCAACCGAGAGAATGCTTCCAGAATAAGCCCCAGTTTCCAGACAGACCGAAACACAGGGCCATGTGACACAGAAATGCAATACAGGGAAGGTTTGTTGGAATGTGTGTTTTCCCAAAGCAAGGGAATACAACTGTAAAAATTCTTACTGAAGTATCTTCAAAGGTCAAACGGTATCTCACTTCCCTGAGGGAGACCACCACCGCCAACCCCCCCAGGAGCACGTACTTGGTGTAGTTCATCTCACAGACGCTCTGCTCCCACTGAGGCTTTCCAAACTCTTTCCCTCCCTTGATGAACACTCGATGTTGGTTGGGGTCGAATGCGAAATCGTTGGAGACAATGGCGTGGAAGTACACCATGACCCCTTCACCAGGACTCAGCATGCTAGAGGAGAGCCGGAAGGAGACAAACGGCAGTAGGAGCTCAGTATGTCCACTCCCCGGGCATGCACGCTCACACACGCACACACACATGCGCTTGCACACACATGCACATGCTCGCACACATCACGCACGGACATCCACACACATACATCCACACACGTAACACATGTGCACACACATGCTTGCATGCACATGCTCATGCGCACGCTCACATACATCACGTTCACACACACATGCACATGCACACACATGCTCGCACACATCACACACGCACATATGCACACCAACTACTTGCCATCAAGTCGATTCCAAGTCAGGACAACCCTGTGTGTGCAGAGCAGGACTATTCCAAGGGGCTGTCAGGGCTGTGACCTTTGGGTCACCAGGTCTTTCCCCTGAGGCATCTATGGTGGTTTGAACTACCAACCTTTGGGCCAGTCACTGAGCAATGACCTGTCTGTGCCTCCCATACACTGAACACACATGCACACTCACATGGCTTCTTCTGTTTCTTGATTGTCATTTATAGAACGAGTGTCCAGATAACCCCACAAGCAGGCCAAGGGGTCAGTCCCAGGGAAGGGAGGGGAGATACCCCAAATCATGCTCTCATGGCAAAGGGGCATAGCTCTAAGAGCCCCCCTGCTGGCTTTTTCTTGCCCTGAACAGGCTTCCTTGCTGCTGGAAACTTCTCAGGGGGCCTCTGGTCCAACCCTGGCTGCGGAGGGTGGCACTCCCTTGTTCCCACCCCACGCACTGACATACACCCCAGCACTGCCATCACTTTGTCTAATGTGGAGGAGGAAGGCAGGCACATGGGAGAGTAAGCTGCAGACATCGCAGATATCTCCAGGACCCAGGCCCACATTATCGAGCAAGTACACCACAGTGAGACTGGGAAGGCCCCCTTTCCTCAAAAACCACACCAGCCAAGAGTCAGCAAGAGGCCCTCTGAGCTGCGGGCCCCTTGTCACTCCCACAATCAGGCAGGTAGGTGCCCAGCTCCCTGGGCATCTGTCCTGTGTCAGGGGCACATACGTGGCTGCCCCATGCCAGGGACGTGTGCCCGGCTCCCTGCGTGGCTGTCCCCACCTGCCTTGTGTTAGGGGTGCGTGCCCAGCTCCCTAGGCGGCTGTCCCCGGCTGCCCAGCGCCAGGGGTGCGTGCCTGGTTCACCAGGCAGCTAGCCCCAGCCGCCCCATGTCAGGGGCATGTACCCAGCTGCCCCATGCCAGGGGCGCATGCCTGGCTTCCAGGCAGCTGGCCCAGCCACCTTGGGTCAGGGACACATGCCCAGCTCCCCGAGCGGCTGGCCCCAGCTGCCCCACACCAGGGGCACACTCCCAGCTCCCCAGGCAGCTATCCCGGGCTGGCCTGTGCCCGGGGCATGTGCCCGACTCCCCAGGTGGTTGGCCCCATCTACCCCGTGCCAGGGGCGCACCCTACCTCTGTGCTTCACGTGCACACTCTTTCTGGCGGCCCTGCTCTGTCGTAGCGTAAGTTCTGCCCTTCCCTTCTTGCTTCTTCCGGTCCTTGGGCTGGGCTCTCTCATTCTCACCTGCTATTTTGTCCTTGGTCTCAGCTTCCTGGAGCAAATCATCAAACCCCAACCTTTAAGACCAGCTTCCTTCCCGTTCACCCCAACGGCAGCCGGCATGACCCTACCTCCCTGCTCAGACCCTCCGCAGCCCCCAGTCCATGCCCTGGGCCTCCAACCCCATCAAGGGCTGCCCCTCCCCACACTCACTCTGGGGCACTGGCTGCCTTGCAGCTCCCAGACAGGCCGACCACACACTACCCAGCCACACCCTGTACCACAGGGCCTTTGTGCTGGCAGTCCCCTCTGCCTTAGGGGTGCTCACCCACAAAAAACTCTGCTCCAACACCACCCGCTGGGAGAGGCCTTCCCCGGCCACACTGGCTACGGGAACCATCCTCCCTAAGGGACCCACCCTCCACATCTCCACACCTCTCGCTGCCTGACCTCCTCTCCTGTCTTCCTCCCTCGACGTGAGCTCCAAGAGCAGGGCTGTCCCTCAGCACTTAATACAGCTCTGACTTGGTAAGTCAGAGGAGCTGAGGCGGGGAAGGGCCTAAGCAGCCATCCTGGGCAGGGAGAAGCGAGGTGGGTCTGGGGGAGTGGCAGGGACGAGATGCTAACCTGGCTGTGTTCTCTGGAAGCAGGGACACTTGCTAGCGCTGGCTTCACCTTCTGAGACTGATTTCTACCATCCTTTCCTGCCACTTTGACATCATGGGCTGGCTGGGCTGGAGTGGTGCTGGCCTGGAAGAAAAAAGACCCCAAACATCAGAGCCAGAGGTAACGTGGAGCAGGGAGACTCTGACTTGGTGGCTCAGGGTTAGCACCTGTCACAGCCCATTGCAGGCTGGAGAGGCCATCCCTTCTTTCACAGTCCCCAGCCCCAGGGAGTATGTCCGAAGGGCAGTGACTCAGAACCCTCCACACAGCAAAGCTCCCAGGGGGTGGCATGCCGGCCCCTGCCATCGTTTTACCCGCAACTCACCTCGGAAGCTGGGCTCCCTGCCTGCTTCCTGGCGGTCTGTGCCCCTTTCCTGGGCTCGGAGTTGTCCCTTTTCAACTCCAGCAATGGGTGCATCTGGACAGTGTCTTTATCCACAGGGCTGCTTTCAAAGGGAGCTTCAGGGTGGCCAGGCCCCTGCTGAGAGGAGCCGGAGGGACCCTGGGGCTCAGCATTCATCTGGGACTCTCCTCTGGTGGCTCCCCCTGCTCCTCCATCCATCTGACCCAGCAGAGGGCAGCCACCAGCCCTGGTCACACCCCCGACGGGCCCTGTGAGGCCATTCTCCTTTAGTTGTGCCACATCCTGGTTCCTGGCCTTTGGGCTGGGTGGGCCCTGGCCACAGCTGGTGGGCTGGCCGCTCACACCGTCCTGGTCACACCTGGCATCAGCGCCGCTGGCCGGGGGC